CACACACACACACACACACACACACCAGTTCAGCTCTGCTCAGAATCAGAATCACACATCAGTCTATTCTCCACAGGTTCTGATCTGATCATGAATGGTCAGCATCAGCTCTTGACCTTTGACCTCTGTGCATGTAAAGGCTGAGCTCAGTGTTTTCTCAGAGCTCTAACGAGCTGAAGTCCTGATTAACACAGGCGTGGCTGCAAACATTCTTGTGCAACACATCCAGAGGAAACGCACCTGTTTTCCATTCACTGGAGCTACAGCAAATGCTGCTGATGTGTGGGAAAAAAACTGAGAGAGAGAGAGAGAGAGAGAAAGAAAGACCAACCATAATCATCTAACTATCTATATCTATCTATCTTATTTTATTTTATGTCTGAGGTAGGTTTGCAAACTATACCTTTGTAGATGTATGAAAATAAAATATTTAAGACCATTTCTAATTAAAGTGACTTAAACCTGAAGACTGTTAGTAAAAGCAGAAGAGCTGGGGAAGCAGCTGGATTCTCTGGGTGTGTTCAGAGCCTCTGTGTTTCAGTTAGTCATGTTGATTAGCCGGTGTTTCCCGCCAGACTGACTCAGCTAGCCGCTATGCTAACCGTCAGTCTGAACATCTGATTACTGCTGTGTACAGCCTCAGAAACAGGAGAGCGGAGGAAACGTTCCCATGATTATCAGCACAAAGCAGGAGGATCCAATTCCAGTGATAAGAAGAGAATCCATCGTTCTGAAAATAAGGAGTTTCTGAGTCACTGATATTTCTGTTCCAATCCAGCGTCTGCGTCACCAGCTCTTACACAACACACGGTGAAGAGGATTTCATCCAGAACGTCTGGGAAAACGTCTAACACTTTATGATCTTACAGTCTTCTCAAAGAGTGACCTTAGTTCAATGCATTGTGATTAAAATATTATTTATTATAGGGTACAACGGGGCTAAAGGCGTCTTTGATATTATTTTCATCTAAACCACTAGATGGCAGAAAAACGTGGCGTATCACTTTCCAAAACATCCGCTTTTCAAGATGCATGTGTATATTTGTCTGATCCTTGACGCGATCACGTACAACGGGGCTAAAGGCACCCCGGGGTAAAAAGGCACTCGCTGCAGTTCAAAGTTGATTCTGTGCTTACCTGATCTAATATTTTATGTTTTTAAAAATGTTGTAGATTTAAGTAGCAAAAGAGAATCTGTAAAATTAATGCATACATTTTGAGACAAAGGTCATCTTTATGATTTTCAGTTTTGTTTAAGATAATTAAAGCAACAGTTTTTAAATAACGAAAGAATATGTAAAAGTATGGTATTTGGGGTAAAAAGCACCCCTGCTGTTGGGGCTAAAGGCACACAGTAATTAACATGATAATTAATAGATGGCTGACTTTTCCATTTGTTGACATGACATGGTTAGATTCAGATGGTAAATATCATATTATGTTGGGTGTCCATATTAGAGATAATCACCATTTTTAGAATTAAACCATCATATTTAAAAACATGATATTAATCATATCATATAATAAAATATAATTTGTTGTTACTACTGTAAATATATATTCAATTATTATGGGATCTCCTTCAATACTTTCAGAATATTTACTTATTAAAATCATTTTGTTTCTGTATTTTAAAATATATTTTTTATATTAACATATTTTAATGACAGTATATTTATTGAACAAAATTTAATAATTTTATTTTTCAAAATAAGCAGAAAATAGTACAAACTTTGCTAAAGTGATTGTTTTGAACATGTATTAACTCAGACATTATTAAAAAACAACATTATTTTAGCTGAAGTATTTGTATCAATACTGTGTGCCCCGTGTGTGGGGTAAAAGGCCCCTCTTGCCACCTCATACATTTATACGATTTTTAAACAAAATAAACAACTTGAAGGATTTATTTTCACACAAAATCTGTTGCTCCATTAATGTTCAATACAACGCATATATTTTTCCAGCAATTATACATTTTAGGTGCAGTGAATAGCACATTTCTTCTTAAGGTGTGCCTTTAGCCCCGTCGTACCCTACTTCATTTCAGCTGAATAATCTCAAATATATAGTTTCAATGTTCTGAACTGTATGGATGGTGTATTTACACTATTTTGACACACTATTTCCCTCTTTAATACTGTAAAGCTGCTTTGACACAATCATTGTAAAAAGCACTATATAGATAATGGTGACTTGACTTGACTCACACACACACACACACACACACACAGACTGATGGATGGATGAGT